GAGATCATGAGGGGTTTGGCAAACGTTTTATGCCATTGCCGTAAATTAGTGGTCAATTGCAAGTCAATCACTTGTGTGTAACCGGTGTCCGAATACCAGCCGTAATACCTATTGATCATCAATACGTCCAAAAATTGTGCCATTTTGTCATTATTGTAGTCATGATTAATGGCGGCCGTAATCGGACGGCTCTTATCCAGACTCCGGGCGTGAGTCGAGATAACCCGGAAGTACTCTTCAGCCTCCGCTTTGTCCGACTGAGGCTCGTTGGCTATGGACCACATGACCACCGATGGCCTGTTTTTATCACGTGCTATCATTTCGGTGATAGTTTGTAAGTGTTGTTTCTGTAAGACATCAGTGAAGGCGCTCAGGGCTACCGCCGGGCACTCGTCGATGACCACAATTCCCTGTTCGTCGCACATATCCATCAACTCTTCGGAGTAGGGGTAGTGTGAGGTGCGGAATGAGTTGGCGCCCATCCATTTGATCAGGTTCATGTCTTTGGCTATGAACGCCAGGTCCAGTCCTTTGCCCCTAACCTAATGGTTATTATAAATAAAAGTTGCAATTTATTTAATAATTAGTATATTTAATATAAAAGTGTTTATATAAACTATATATACGTTCGCGTCTTCGTGTTTACCAAAGCCTCGGAAGTAAAAGGGTTTACCATTAATGAAAACCTCCTTTTCAGTGGCCCTAACCGTACGGATGCCGACTCTCTGGTAGTAAACATCGGCGGTCTTACCGCTGGCCACGAGAGACACGCGTAGTGTATAGAGATATCCGGGGTTCGGGTCCGTAGTGTAGGGCCACCACAACTTGGCGTTCGGTATTGTTATGGAACCCGAATAGCCTTTAGCTTCGGCTACTTTTTTGCCGCTTTTGTCCATCACTTCCACAACACATTCAGCCGCCGATGTCTTCACGCTATGAGTGATCTCATAGTTTATGACACCAGTCGTCGAGTCCTTGATATCAGTGGTGACTGCGATGTCGTCGATGTGGTCGACGGGGAGGGCGTATAGCGAGACGTGTCGGTGAATACCCGCGTAATTCATGAAATCAAAGTTAGTTGTGGTCTCATAGAAGCCCTTTGGGAACAGTTGTGTGTTGTTCTTGTAAGTGATGGTCCCCTGAGGGACAGTACTCGGCGTCAGTATGTTATTCAGGGCAACAGTTATGCGATTATTTGCCCCAAAGTTCAAGTGTTTGGTGACGTCCGCAGCGAATGGTAAATGTCCGCCGATATGTCGCACGACTTCCACTCCGTTTACGTATACTATGGACTCGTAGTGAGCGCTACCGAAGTGTAGGATTACGGCCAGTAAGGGGTCAGACCAGTCGCCGGTGACGAAGAAGTTCCTGTCATACCAGACCCAACCCGCGTAGTCTCGGATAAATCGGCTTTGAGTGATGTCGTTGAAACTGGACGGCACCGGCATTGGTATCACTTCACCAGTCTGTATGTATTACCATGTTTTTAATAATATAAAATATAACTAATTTAATAAAATTCTCTCTCTCTCTCTCTCTCTCT